CATTTGTAGGTGGCTTGGGCTCTGGGTCACATTTGTTGATGGTTAGAACTCATAGGACCATTTGTAGGTGGCTAGACCTCTGGGTGACATTTGTAGGTGGCTAGACGTCTGGGTGACATTTGTAGGTGGCTTGGGCTCTGGGTCACATTTGTAACGGCAAGGCCTCTGGGTCACATTTGTAAGTGGCTAGGGCTCTGGGTCATCTTTGTAGGTGGCTAGCCCTTAGTGACATGTGCAGGTGGCCAGACAGCTAGACCTTTCAATCACAGTAGTTGGTGTCTATATTTTAAGGTCACAATTGTTGATGGTCAGACATGTAGTCACATATTGGTTACATTTGTTTTCCTGACATTTGGTCACATTTTTTTTCTTTTTTTTCTTTTTTTTCTTTTTTCACAAGTCAAGTTTTTCGTTGCCATGGTAACAAATATTGAGGTTTATCCGAGAGTTTGGGTCACATTGATGTACCTATATGTCTGGTTTGAACAGAGAAAGTTTGTCCTTACATCTCTAAGTTACATATATTGAGATTGGAATACCTGGTTTGGACAGAAACCATATTATCCTATATACTTAAAGCAATCTTGGAATAACAGAATTTGGTTTAATCGATGCGTAATTGACCAACTCTTTCTGTGTTAGAATTGAAAGCGGTCTACCCAATAGCATGGTCATTTTACCATTGAACAAATTGGCATTTAAAAAACCCAGCCTGAAAAAAAGTGTTCAAATTTATAGCCAATTTTAATAATGCCACCAGCAGGTATGTCGTTATACATGACTATGAAGATTCCATGTTATTGACAGTAAGCTATAGTGAATACTGCATACTAGGAAATGTTCACTGTAGTTTAAGTTTTACCTTTTTTGCGAATTTAGCATGACAGAGAATTTGAGGAAAACAATCGTACAGTATTTAGTAATAACATGTCAAGGGTGAAATTAACACTGGAAGAAAAAGATTTTACAGGTGAAGGCTGATTATTTGACTGAGTGAAAGTTTGCCAGAATGGTGTAGGTATTGTCAGTATGTTGACAGTAGACTAGGTGACATGATACATAAGAGGGGCTTCAGTGGCCAAGTGGTTAAGGCTTTTGACATTCTGCTACCACTAGCCCTCCACCACTGGGTCACAGATTGGAGGCCTACGTGGGGCAGTCGCCAGGTACTGGCCGTTGGTCGGTGGTTTTTCTACAGGAACTCAGGCTTTCGTCCACTATCAAAACCTGGCACGTCATTAAATGATCATAACTGTTAATAGGACGTAAAACACAAACAGACAGACATATGATGTAGATAAGTTTTTCTATTAGTAAGTGCAACAGTCATGGGGAAGTTTTGATGGTATCCTCTTTAAACAGGTGATCTCTTTAACACAGTTGTTCTCATAACACAGGTTATTTCTCAACACCAGGTGGTCACCTGGTAACAAAGTGGACAGGATCCATTCATGTCCTTAGCTAACTTTATATGGCTTTTGAATTATTTTCAAGTGTGAGGGAATAAATTTGATATGTCTGTCAGAGACCACTCCGCCTTTTCCAGTCTGTTCCTGAGGTTATAATTCAATAGGTCAGTTAGTGGTTTTATACCTTGGCCTTTGTCACTCAGATCTTGTTATACCGATAAAAAAAATTCATTATATTACAATTTGGTCAGACTTTGTTTCAACATTTTGTTGCCAAGCTTGGTATGGGTTGTTTGTGTTGTACGTCCTATTAACAGCCTATGGTCATTTAAGGACGTGTCAATTTTGGTGGTGGAGGAAAGCCAGAGTTCCTGAGAAAAAAACCACCGACCTACGGCCAGTAGCTGGGGACTGCCCCACGTAGGTCTCGAACCCGTGACCCAGTGGTGGAGGTTAGTGGTAGCAGAATGTCAGACGCCTTAACCACTTGGCCACTGGGACCCCCACTTTATAACTAGTTCATTATAGAAGCATTATTCCTAGGGAGGTTCACAGTGATGTGTGGTGTATACTTCTTGAGTAATATGTGTTGGCCCGTATTGATGGAAACTAGTACAATGATTAATTCGTATTAATATTAATATCTGATAGTCTACAATGTGCTGATAATGTGTCTCGTGGGACACATCTGGGGAAGGCTGATCAGCTTCGGCCTGATCTCTACTGCTCCAACATCAAACTACTATGTCTGGCCTTATAGCGGAAAAACTGTTACAGGATAGACAATTTGAAGTCTGTTCAATTGTAACTTAAAAATAAAGTTTCAACTTGCAGCCCTGTGCACATAAAACAGTATATGAACCATACAAATAAATAACTTTCATGTCCAACTTAAATGTTTTACTTGGATAAGTAAATTTCTGATTAGGATTTACATAATGCATTTTAACAATCTTAAAGCACTGGTACCTATTTCCTGAACAATAAAAATAAACAATCTACTTTGTCTAAAAGTGTCTTTAAAGTATTACACCATGAAGTAATGAAGTATTACACCACGAAGTAATGAAGCATACACCACAAAGTAATGAAGTATTATACCACAAAGTAATAAAGTATTACACCACAAAGTAATAAAGTATTACACCACAAAGTAATAAAGTATTACACCACGGAGTAATAAAGTATTAAACCACGAAGTAATAACATATTGCACCACAAAGTAATAAAGTATTACACCACTAAGTAATAACGTATTACACCACAAAGTAATAAAGTATTACACCACGAAGTAAGTCCCTTGATAAAATAAGCAGTACAGCACTATAGTTGTGTGTCAACTATTTATGTGGAACACTGATAAATAGTAAATGTTGAGTACTAAATGTTAATTTGAGTCAATTAATCGTTTGTAGTTAAAAAATAAAATTTAGTATTAATTTGATTTTATAGCAATTCAAGAGAAACCTATCTTTGTATTAGTGGTAACAGGTGCTTGGTAAACGAAACAATAAATAAACTTTGTGGTTAGAAAATTGAATTCAACACACATTTTATTTAAGTGTACATATTTTGTGTGGTTATAGAGAACAGGTGCTTTCAATTTGAATTGATCATAGGATGTAGATTAAACAGTCTGGTGCTCACAACAAACTGTTTGTAGTGGCAGATGTAAGCCTTCCCCCCCCCCCCTTTCCCCACAACCCTATAGCCAGGTTAGCTACATATAAACAATTTATTTCCTTATCATTCTGTAAACAGCTTGAAAAAGTACACATGAGGAATGAAAATTAATTTGTTCATAATACCAATTTTGTATAGAAAAATGTCCCGTGTATCTGGTATATGAATGGGAGTTTGATTTCCCAACCACTACTGTTTTTGTGTGCGAGTGGCCTGGATACGACCCCACTTACTGTAACACACAGTTCATGTAATACCAACACAACTGTGAGGTAACTGGGGAGAGGTCAAAGGTCGACGAAATGTGATCCTACACATCAGAGGAATGTGCATTCCCCTTGGATAATAGTGCTAAAAAAGTGTAGGGTGTTTCTTGTTTCTGGAGGGTAGGGTCTGTCTATGCAGCGGTAGGTACTACTGGGTTTTTGTTGTGGAAGTGGTAGATAATAGTGGGTTTTGTTGTGGGAGGTAAGGGTCTGTGTCTATGTGGGATAAGTACTAGTGGGGTTTTGTTGTGGGAAGTTAGGGTCTTTGTCTATGTGGGATAAGTACTAGTGGGTTTTGTTGTGGGAAGTTAGGGTCTGTGTCTATGTGGGATAAGTACTAGTGGGTTTTTGTTGCGGAGAGCTAGGGGCTGCCTGTATGCAGGGGTAGATCCTAGTGGGTTTTTGTTGCAGAGGACTAGGGGCTGCCTGTATTCAAGGGTAGGTACTAATGGGTTTTTGTTGCGGAGAGCTAGGGGCTGCCTGTATGCAGGGGAAGATCCTAGTGGGTTTTTGTTGCAGAGGACTAGGGGCTGCCTCTATGCAGGGGTAGGTACTAGTGGGTTTTTGTTGCGGAGGGCTAGGGGCTGCCTTTATGCAGGGGTAGATCCTAGTGGGTTTTTGTTACAGAGGGCTAGGAGCTGCCTGTATGCAGGGGTAGGTACTAGTTGGTTTTTGTTGCGGAGGGCTAGGGGCTGCCTATATGCAGGGGTAGGTACTAGTTGGTTTTTGTTGCGGAGGGCTAGGCGCTGCCTATATGCAGGGGTAGGTACTAGTTGGTTTTTGTTGCGGAGGGCTAGGGGCTGCCTGTATTCAAGGGTAGGTACTAGTTGGTTTTTGTTGCGGAGAGCTAGGGGCTGCCTTTATGCAGGGGTAGATCCTAGTGGGTTTTTGTTGCAGAGGGCTAGGGGATGCCTGTATTCAAGGGTAGGTACTAGTGGGTTTTTGTTGCGGAGGGCTAGGGGCTGCCTGTATGCAGGGGTAGGTACTAGCAGGTTTTCTCTTTCTCTCTTGTTTAGGGACAATATTATTCTGGAATCCTGCATTCTATTTGAGGGACAAGGTAACACACAAATTCCCTTATCTCTCTTTGAGGGACAAGGTTATTCTGGAATTTCCTTCTCTCTGTTTGAGGGATGAGGTAAAACACTAAAAATCCCATCTCTCTTTCCCCCTTTCTCTCTTTAAGGGGCCACATGATACAGGAATTCCCCTCTCCCTGTTGGAGAGGATGAAGTGGTGTTCTCTCTGTCTGTCTGAGGGAGGTAATACTACAATCCCCCTCCCCAACAACAGCCTGTCTGTCTGAGGGAGGTAATACTACAATCCCCCTCCCCAACACCAGTCTGTCTGTCTGAGGAAGGTAATACTACAATCCCCCTCCCCAACAACAGTCTGTCTGTCGGAGAGCGGGAACACTACAATCCCCCTCCCTGTATTCAAGGGTAGGTACCAGTGGGTTTTTGTTGCAGAGGGCTAGGGGATGCCTGTATTCAAGGGTAGGTACTAGTGGGATTTTGTTGCGGAGAGCTAGGGGCTGGCTGTAAACAGGGTTAGGTACTAGTGGGTTTTTGTTGCGGAGGGCGGGGGGCTGCCTGTATTCAAGGGTAGGGACTAGTGGGTTTTTGTTGCGGAGTGCTAGGGGCTACCTGTATTCAAGGGTAGGTACCAGTGGGTTTTTGTTGCAGAGGGCTAGGGGCTGCCTGTAAACAGGGTTATGTTCGTTTGGGTTTTTGTTGCGGAGGGCTAGAGGCTGCCTGTATTCAAGGGTAGGGACTAGTGGGTTTTTGTTGCGGAGTGCTAGGGCCTGCCTGTATTCAAGGGTAGGGACTAGTGGGTTTTTGTTGCGGAGTGCTAGGGCCTGCCTGTATTCAAGGGTAGGGACTAGTGGGTTTTTGTTGCGGAGGGCTAGGGGCTGCCTATATGCAGGGGTAGGTACTAGTTGGTTTTTGTTGCGGAGGGCTAGAGGCTGCCTGTATTCAAGGGTAGGAACTAGTGGGATTTTGTTGCGGAGAGCTAGGGGCTGGCTGTAAACAGGGTTAGGTACTAGTGGGTTTTTGTTGCAGAGGGCTAGGGGATGCCTGTATTCAAGGGTAGGTACCAGTGGGTTTTTGTTGCAGAGGGCTAGGGGCTGCCTGTAAACAGGGTTAGGTACTAGTGGGTTTTTGTTGCCGAGGGCTAGGGGCTGCCTGTATTCAAGGGGAGGTACTAGTGGGTTTTTGTTGCGGAGGGCTTTGGGCTGCCTGTATGCAGGGGTAGGTACTAGCAGGTTTTCTCTTTCTCTCTCGTTTAGGGACAATGTTATTCTGGAATCCTGCATTCTATTTGAGGGACAAGGTAACATGCAAATTCCCTTATCTCTCTTTGAGGGACAAGGTTATTCTGGAATTCCCTTCTCTGTTTGAGGGATGAGGTAAAACCCTGAAAATCCCATCTCTCTTTCCCCCATTCTCTCTTTAAGGGGCGACATGATACAGGAATTCCCCTCTCTCTGTTGGAGATGAAGGAGGATGAAGTGGTGTTCTCTCTGTCTGTCTGAGGGAGGTAACACTACAATCCCCCTCCCCAACACCAGTCTGTCTGTCGGAGGGAGGTAACACTACAATCCCCCTCCCCAACAACTGTTTGTCTGTCTGAGGGAGATAACACTACAACCCCCATCCCCAACACCAGTCTGTCTGTCGGAGGGAGGTAACAATACAATCCCCCTCCCCAACAACAGCCTGTCTGTCGGAGGGAGGTAACACTACAATCCCCCTCCCCAACACCAGTCTGTCTGTCGAAGGGAGGTAACACTACAATTCCCCTCCCCAACAACAGCCTGTCTGTCGGAGGGAGGTAACACTATAATCCCCCTCCCCAACAACAGCCCGTCTGTCGGAGGGAGGTAACACTACAATCCCCCTCCCGAACACCAGCCTGTCTGTCGAAGGGCGGGAACACTACAATCCCCCTCCCGAACACCAGCCTGTCTGTCGGAGGGCGGGAATACTACAATCCCCCTCCCGAACACCAGTCTGTCTGTCGGAGGGAGGTAACACTACAATCCCCCTCCTCAACAACAGCCTGTCTGTCGGAGGGGGGGAACACTACAATCCCCCTCCTCAACAACAGCCTGTCTGTCAGAGGGCGGGAACACTACAACCCCCCACCCCAACAACAGTCTGTCTGCCAGAGAGCGGGAACACTACAATCCCCCTCCTCAACAACAGCCTGTCTGTCAGAGGGAGGTAACACTACAATCCCCCTCCCCAACAACAGTCTGTCTTTAGAGGGCGGGAACACTACAATCCTCCTCCCCAACAACAGTCTGTCTGTCAGAGAGCGGGAACACTACAATCCCCCTCCCCAACAGCAGTCTGTCTGTCGGAGGGCGGTAACACTACAATCCCCCTCCCCAACAATAGCCTGTCTGTCTGAGGGAGGTAACACTACAATCCCCCTCCCCAACACCAGCCTGTCTGTCGGAGGGAGGTAACACTACAATCCCCCTCCCGAACACCAGCCTGTTTGTCGGAGGGCGGGAACACTACAATCCCCCGCCCCAACAACAGTCTGTCTGTCAGAGAGCGGGAACACTACAATCCCCAACCCCAACAACAGCCTGTCTGTCGGAGGGAGGTTGCACTACAATCCCCCTCCCGAACACCAGCCTGTTTGTCGGAGAGCGGGAACACTACAATCCCCCTCCCCAACAACAGTCTGTCTGTCAGAGGGAGGTTACACTACAATCCCCCTCCCGAACACCAGCCTGTCTGTCGGAGGGAGGTAACACTACAATCCCCCTCTCCAACAACAGTCTGTCTGTCGAAGGGAGGTAACACTACAATCCCCCTCCCCAACAACAGCCTGTCTGTCGGAGGGAGGTAACACTACAATCCCCAACCCCAACAACAGTCTGTCTGTCGGAGGGCGGGAACACTACAATCCCAATTCCCAACACCAGTCTGTCTGTCGGAGGGTGGTAACACTACAATCCCCCTCCCTAACAACAGCCTGTCTGTCAGAGGGAGGTAACACTACAATCCTCCTCCCCAACAACAGTCTGTCTGTCGGAGGGAGGTAACACTACAATCCCTCTCCCCAACAACAGCCTGTCTGTCTGTCGGAGGGAGGTAACACTACAATCCCCCTCCCCAACAACAGCCTGTCTGGAACTCTTATCACCCACCTGAACATCATATTAATGCTAGCATTACTATTGGTCCAGATGCACTCGCACCATCTTCTGTTTGGGTACTGAAGGGGAGACTGGCGTGCCTAAATTCCTGTCTATGTTTTGACTATATAGCTCCACATTAACCAGACATACCTTTGACTGAATTATCTTTTCTATTCCTATCTGATTTTATATCCATCAATCTGGCTTTAAGAAATGCTACCTTGCAAGAAATTTCATTGAAAATGTGATGCTCTAGTTTTGAAACCAGACGGTTGCATTCCTCTGCTGTAGACAAGTTTTGATGACTGATAAAGCTAGTGATAGTTGGGCCTCCACTCCCGACCCCCTCCTGTGCCCCGTTTCTGTGCAATGTGTGCAGGCAGTGAAGCACACACAGTAGCGGTTCCTAGTTCTGGGACTTCTAAATAAAATGTTCAAATGTACAAATCAAAATCGCCCTGATATTAATTTTATATCAAATAAAATTACATCCGTTTTTGTTCAGAAGATGTTGAGTATGATCTTTCAGCAGATACTTTTGATATTTGCATACAAAATTATATATATCCCCTGGGTAAAAAAAAGACATTTTAGAATAGCTGCTTTTAGTTGCTCCTTCAGACAAATTCACTATTTCTTAAAATAAAGAAAGGATTTAGCAAATTTGCTAGCTGAAAATGTTCAATTTTGGGGTACAAAGCTGGTAGTCTCTCTCAAAAATAGGGAGAGCTGCAAGTATCTTCAACAGTTTTTCAATTCAATTTTGAATAAAAAAAATGAAATTCGTATAGATTTGATTTCTGTTTAATTTTTTGATCAAACCAAACGATATTCACACAATAACTGTTTGCTTTTCAGTGATTATTTTATTCTTGTTTTGCGAATACAGGCTGTTTCCCCATGCAAAATAATTTTCCTAAAATGAATGGAAAAAAAGAGGAAAATCATTTTTAATGAACATCCTGCTCTATTTTCCCAATTCATGTTAGAACATGCTGCTTTAACATTTAGGCAAAACAAACACCTGGTTTTAATTGATGAATATTACTTCAGAAATACGTCTATGTGTATCAATAAAAATATGATTTGTGATATTAGGGTTCATGTTATGTATAATTATATATATATATAATTAACTCCTAGAGATATATTGTTAGATAATTATTTTAATTTCTTATGTAGAAATATTAGAGATATTCCAATGACTAAGAAAGGAATGCAACATTTTCAATTCATACTATACTTTATAAAAACGACATTAAAATGTAGCTATCCTTTTATTTGGTAAAAGATCCAATTTAGTATTTATTTTTTTAAACCTAGTTTCTTGTCCTCTCTAAGGCCCTGGTATGGTCCTTTATAAGGGCCTAGTTTTTGTTCCTCTCTGAAGCCCTAGTTTCTGTTCCTCTCTTAGGCCATAGTTTCTGGTCCTTTTATAAGACCCTGTTCTCTGGTCCTTTATGAGACTCTAGTTTCTTATCCTCTCTAAGGCCCTGGTATGGTCCTTTATAAGGGCCTAGTTTTTGTTCCTCTCTGAAGCCCTAGTTTCTGGTCTTCTCTAAGGCCATAGTTTCTGGTCTTCTTTAAGGCCCTGTTTTCTAGTCCTTTATGAGACTCTAGTTTTTGGTCCTCTCTGAAGCTATGGTTTCTGCTATACTCTTTAAAGCCCCTTTTCTGGTCATTTATAAAACCCTGTTTTCAGGTCTTCTTCCAGGCCCAGTAAAATAGTATTTATAACAGTATGTATTATTCTATGAATAGCTCTAAAACATATTTGTGATTATATATTGAGTTTGAAAAGAAGATAAGCAGATTTTTGTACATTTTTAACTGCGTTATAAGATATTAACTAACCAGACAATGATATAATGATATTAAGAACGCCTACAATGATGCAGATTATATCTCCATACATGCAAAACATCTCCCTTTGAATGACATTAAAAAAACGGTGATGAGAGTGTCTCCTATGGTTACGGGGCTTTGGCCCTTAAAGATCAGGCAGGGCCTGGGAAAGACTAGCGGATTGCATTATGACCTGTCGGGTTATACAATTTTGATGAGGGTTGTTGTGGGTGAGTGCATTCAGGCTGTGACAGGGACACTGTGGAGACATGGTGACTTGTCACTGCTGGCTTGTTTTCCAGACCAAGCTAGGTGTTCGCTGTTAAATATTCACTGTAATCAAACACGCAGGGACAGTCATTAAAATTATATGCTAGATTTTAGAATAAAGATTTTGATAAAATCATCAGATTAAAAAACCCCAAAAGATTTATTAATGTTTCCGAAAGACCGACGGGAAATTGGTTTGATGATATTTTGCAGTAAGCTGACTTGTCATTTCTCATTAAGTCTTGTCAATAACAGATATAATACTTCAGGTGTAAATTGTTATCTGTCACTGTTGGACACTGATGGACAGAAAGTTTGTCTTTAACTGATGGACGCTCCAGGACAGAACAGTTGTCTGTTACTGATGGACGCTCCAGGACAGAACAGTTGTCTGTTACTGATGGACGCTCCAGGACAGAACAGTTGTCTGTTACTGATGGACGCTCCAGGACAGAACAGTTGTCTGTTACTGATGGACGCTCCAGGACAGAACAGTTGTCTGTTACTGATGGACGCTCCAGGACAGAACAGTTGTCTGTTACTGATGGACGCTCCAGGACAGAACAGTTGTCTGTTACTGATGGACGCTCCAGGACAGAACAGTTGTCTGTTACTGATGGACGCTCCAGGACAGAACAGTTGTCTGTTACTGATGGACGCTCCAGGACAGAACAGTTGTCTGTTACTGATGGACGCTCCAGGACAGAACAGTTGTCTGTTACTGATGGACGCTCCAGGACA